GCAGTTCTCTTATTCTAGATACGCAGCTTTATTTGGCAAATCATTGACCAGAACTCTGAAATGCTGAGAAAAACTTCTTTTATATATGCCCCATCTGTAAACAGCTTTCCGTTTTTTGCAATGCACTGTGACTGCAATCTTGTAACTTCCTTCTGTAGCTTGATTTTTACTTACACGTAAGCATTTAAAAACACTGCTTTGCTTCTCATATCCTGCTACTGCCTTTTTGATCGGTTCAGTCTTGTCGGCTTCATCAAGAAAGGTTTTTCTCGTGCTTCGTTTGAAAATGTCGTCGAACACTTGATGTGCGACAAACAACACTTTCACAACAGAAAGCACAAACAGCACGGTCCTTTTTTTGAATAAATCCAGATGTGTCTGTCCAAGAAGGCTGAAGTGAATGGACATCTAACCTTGCTTTCTGAGGAGCTGACATTTTGTCAAATGTACCCCTCAACTTACAGTGGGGGGGGGGGGAAATTGCGACAGACGGCCCGCACAATGTCAAACACAATGCGCTGTTCCACGTGACGTGATAGTGATGGAAGCAGCAAATCAGGACTCAAAAATATTCCAGTACAGCAGCCCTGGAACAATCTTTAAGGCGGGGGTGCTGAGCTGCACCCCCTCTTGCCCCTGTCTGTACCCCTCACTGCCCTAGGTTGGGGCCAGTGGGCCACAGCTGGGGGCGGCTGCAGAGGCCTGGGCCTAGGCCAGGAGCAGAGCCCCGGGCCGGTGGCCGGGACCCCAGGATGGCAACAGAGCCCCTGGGACCGGTGGCCAGGACCTGGGGCCGGCAGCGGGCTGAGTGGGGCCAGCGGATGGGACCCCAGGTGCCGGGGACTGGCAGTAGGACCCCAGGCCAGCAGCAGAGCCCCCAGGACCGGTGGCCAGGACCCAGGAAGTGTGAGTGCCACTCAAAAGCATCTTGCATGCTGCCTATGGCATGCATGCCATAGGTTGCTGACCCCTGATCTAGACCATCCCTGAGAGGTGTTTGTCCAACCTGCTCTTAAAAATCTCCAATGTAGAGATGCTATAACCTCCCAGGGCAATTTATTCCAGTGCTTAACCACCCTGGCAGGAACTTTTTCATAATGTCCAACCTAAACTGCCCTTACTGCAATTGAAACTCATTACTTCTTATCCTGTCCTCAGTGGTTAAGGAGAACGGTTTACCACGCTCCTCTTTACAACAGCCTTTTACATATGTAACCCTTCTGCCAGGTGGAGCTGGCAGCAAGCAGGGCCGGGTTTAATATCTAGGGGTTCCTTTCCATTGATACAACGCAGAACTGGCTCGAGCCCCCACCCAGTAACCTGGGAAATTTACACCCCTGGGCGCCTCTGAGAGGCAATACTTCCCCGCTTGCAAGCACAGAGTCTGAGTTTATCTTGATTATCTTGATTAGTTTTGATTATCATGCACATTGTAGGGAGAGTGGTCACTTTGGATAAGCTATTACCAGCAGGAGAGTGAGTTTGTGTGTGTGGTTTTTGGAGGGGGGTGAGGGGGTGAGAGAACCTGGATTTGTGCAGGAAATGGCCCACCTTGATTATCATACACATTGTGAAGAGAGTGGTCACTTTGGATGGGCTATTATCAGCAGGAGAGTGAGTTTGTGTGTGGGGGGAGTGGAGGGTGAGAAAACCTGGATTTGTGCTGGAAATGGCCCAACTTGATGATCACTTTAGATAAGCTATTACCAGCAGGACAGTGGGGTGGGAGGAGGTATTGTTTCATGATCTCTGTGTGTATATAGAAAAGGAGTTCTTGTGGCACCTTAGAGACTAACCAATTTATTTGAGCATGAGCTTTCGTGAGCTACAGCTCACTTCATCTGATGAAGTGAGCTGTAGCTCACGAAAGCTCATGCTCAAATAAATTGGTTAGTCTCTAAGGTGCCACAAGAACTCCTTTTCTTTTTGCGAATACAGACTAACACGGCTGTTCCTCTGAAACCTGTGTGTATATAATGTCTGCTGCAGTTTCCACGGTATGTATCCGATGAAGTGAGCTGTAGCTCACGAAAGCTCATGCTCAAATAAATTGGTTAGTCTCTAAGGTGCCACAAGTACTCCTTTTCTTTTTGAGTGTAGAAAATAAACTTTTAATGAAAGGAGGGAATTCCCCGGCATTAGTTAGGGAGAATGCCACAAGCAGGATTCATAAGCATAAAACTGTCAGCAGGGCATCCACCCCAGAATGCATGGGGCAGAGTCTTCTGCCTCATGTTCTTGAGTCCTACAACCAAAAGTTCCTTTTCTGTGCCCCTGTCTGCTCCCGCACCACACACTACTCACAGTGGTTGTCCTTGGTCAGAGAGGACCCAGGGTTCAGAGGCGCAGCTGTGTGAGTTCACCTCCCACCCAGGGAAGAAGGCACCTTGCTTGCTCCACCATTTGAGCACTTGCTTTGCCTGGCTGCCCTGCCAACCGCTGCTCCTCGCTGCCTGGCCGCCCCACTAGCCGCTGCTTCTCGCTGCCTCGCCAGCCACTCGTTCTGCTCACCGCCTCACCAGCGACTCGTTCACCAGTCAACTGTCAGTCACCGTCTGCTGCCACCTGCTTGTCTGCTGTGACCTCTGCACATCAGTCTCTTAGCAATTTTCAGCTCTTTGCGGGCTGGGCAGAAACACTGCCCCATCCCAAGTGATTTCAGCTTTGCCTGAGCATTTAAAATAACAAAAGGCTCCTAATGAAGTCTATTTAGCTCTTTCTTTTAACAGTGGGAAGGAACAGGTTAAACCAGACCAGGGACCTTTGGGGAGAGGCCACATCTCCTGGCTGGGACACCTGTCCCCACACCTTTTACTTTTACACGGTTCTGACATTCAAGCCCCTGGCTTAGCAAGTTCCTTTTGCTGAGGGTGACCCCTCAATCAGAACAAGCTCAGCACAGTTCTGCTCTCCTTTAGTCATACAATGAAGATGATAAAATTTCATTACCCCTGCATTCCATACTAAAGTGATTTGTAGCCCAATACCAGCCAAAGCCAATCACTTGGAGCTACACAACTGCTGTCTGCTAGATACCTATGCAAAGCAGGTGTGTTCATGTAAATACAGTTTGCTCTTGAAGTCTCCCCCCCTCCCGAACTAGCTGTCAGGGGAGAGTTCATTCAGATCCTGCTTACACATACTTGAAAACTCATCTTGTCTCCCCTCAGTCTTCTCTTCTCCAGACTAAACAAACCCATTTTTTTTTTCAATCATTCCTCCTAGGTTATATTTTCTAAACTGTTAATCATTTTTGTTGCTCTTCTCTCAACTTTCTCTAATTTGTCCACATCTTTCCCGAAGTATTGTGTCCAGTTCTGGGCACAGTGCCCCAGTTGAGGCCTTATCGGTGCTGAATAGAACAGAAGCTGTGTCTCTTGTATCTGGCTTACAACACTACTGCTAATACATCCCTGAATTATGTTCATGAGGTGTGGGGGGTGGGTTGGGTTTTTTGGTGGGGTTTTTTTTTCAACAGTATTACATTGTTGACTCCAGCTTAGTTTGTGATCCACTATGACCCCCAGATCCCTTTCCTCAGTACTCCTTCCTAGGCAGTCATTTCCCATTTTGTATTTGTGCAATGGATTGTTCCTTCCTCAGTGTAATACTTTGCAATTGTCCTTGTTGTCATCCTAGTTATTTCACACCATTTCTCCAGTTTGTCCAGATCATTTTGAATTCCAATCCTGTCCTCCAAAGTGCTCGCCACCCCTCCCAGCTTGGTGTTGTCCACAAACTTTATAATTGTACTCTCTGTGCCACAATCCAAATCATGGATGAAGATATGGAATAGAAGCAGACCTAGAACTGATCCCTGCGGGACCCCACTTGATATGGCCTTCCAGCTTGACTGTGCACCAATGATAACTACTCTGAGTATGCTTTTCCAAACAGTTATGCACCCACCATATAGTAGGTTCATTTTGGCTATATTTCTCGTTTGTTTATGAAAAGGTCACGTGAGACATTACCAAAAGCCTTACTAAAGTCGAGATATATCACATCTACTGCTTCCCACCCTGCCTCCCATCCACAAAGCTTGTTACCCTGTCAGAGAAGGATATTAGATTGGTTTGACAAGATTTGTTCTTGACACACCCATGTTGACTGTTACTTATCACCTTAATTTCTTCTAGGTGCTTGCAAATTGATTGTTTGATTACTTGCTCCATTGTCTTTCTGGGTACTGAAATTAAGCTGTCTGGTCTATAATTCCCTGGGTTGTCCTTATTCCCCTTTTTATGGATAAGTACTATATTTTCCCTCTTCCAGTCCTCTGGGATGGCTCAGAGATCTCTTCAGACAGTTCCTTAAGTATTGTATTTAGGATATATTTCTTCAGTCCCTGCCAACTTGAAGACATCTAACTTGTCTGAGTAATTCTTAATTTGTTCCTTTCCTATTTTAGCCTCAGCTCCTACCCCATTTACACGGAGGTTCACTTTGTTAGGCCACATCTACACTACCATTTATGTTGGCAAAACTTATGTTGCTCAGAGGTGTGGGGGGAAAAACACACCCCCCCAAGTGACATAAGTTTCGCTGACATAAGCGGTAGTGTGCACAGCACTGTGTCGGTGGGAGAGCTTCTCCTGCTGACATAACTACTGCCGTTCGTTGAGGTGGTTTTCTTGTGTCGACAGAAGAGCTCTCCTATCTGCATAGAGCGGCTACACGAGCAATTTTACAGTGGCACAGCTGGTCAGTACAGCAGTGGAAGCTCACTAGTGTAGACATAAAAACACTGAGGAGTCTGGTGGCACCTTAAAGACTGACAGATTTATTTGGGCATAAGCTTTCGTGGGTAAAAAGCCCCACTTCTTCAGATGCATGGAGTGAAAATTACAGATGCAAACAAATTTAACAGCATTACTTTGGGCTTGAATAGGGCCTGGGAGTGGCTGGCTCACTACAAAAGGAATTTTCCCTCTCTTGATATTGACACCTCCTACTCAGTTATTGGGAGTGCACCACATCCACCCTGACTTTGAACTGACCTGTTAACACCGGTTCTCCACTTGCTTCCGATGGGATTTTACCTACCAATTTGCTGCGTTGGCTAAACTCTGCCTTCTTGAAGCTCATTGTCTTTATTCTGATGTTTTCCCTCCTCCCATTCTTCAGTATCATGAGTTCTATCGTTTCGTGATCACTTTTACCCAAGCTGCCTTGCATGTTCACATTCTCAGCCAGCTCCTTGCTGTTTGTCAGAATCAAATTGAGAGTAGCCTTTCCTCTAGTTGCTGTCTCCATTTCCTGGAATAAAAAGTTGTGGATTACTTTTTTTTTTTATATTGCAAATGACATCCCGTGGTGTTTTGTTAGGCTGCCAGGAATGCAGAAAACAGAGGGACAGATAACGAGTAATGATTGGAACCCATAGCGTACCCTCCCTCGGGAGGGCAGAGTCCCTTACGGATGGTATCTGAGTGTATCTTTCTCATTATAGCTGTTGAAGGGTTGCCTGACATGTCCCATTATAACACCCTATTTTCAGCATGAATGGTGAAAGTTTGGCAAAATTAAAAGATCTGAAACTTCCTTTGCTCTTTGTCTTCCTCAGTCTGATTTTTTTTGTACTGGGAGCAAAAGTCAGTAAAGCTGTTTGGTGCCATTCTTGATTGGCTAAGCTTCCAAAGCTAAATGACCAACCTAGTGGGTGCTAATTAGCATCTCTGCTTGCTGTCACAGCAGGGAGACCAAGGACCTGGCGCGCCAATGACCCTCTTTTCTTAAGATCTGGTCCCTTCTGCTCAGTAATGGGGCACATTGGTGAGACTGTGTGTGCGGGAGGGTGCGCGGGGAGAGAAACTTGCAGGGATGACTGCCCTTGCTCTGCGAATACAGACAGTTTCGCTCTGCTCTGAGGTTGTCAACCCAGCACCTCCCACTAGCCTTAAATTCCCTTCTGTTTTTTTTTTTAAAGGGGAAAAAGAAAGAGGGGGAAAAAAAGGATTTTAATGCCAAGCAGAAAGATCCAGGTGTTTATCAGATCTGAACTTGAGAGAGCCACGAATTGGCTCTACCTCACTGATGTACAGTACTTCATCTCTTACGGCACCTTAGAGACTCATGGGAAAGATAAGGCAGCTGAGCGTTTGTCAGTTTTCCACTTACAGAAATAAGCCCATTACACCAGCTGCATGTATTTGATGTCACTTGGAGTCGGACTTGCTGTTCTGGAAGCATGATCTATTAAGGGTTATTTGTAGGAGTCTGAAGGAAAATGACTACTGCACCCCTTAAATCTTGAAACACTTTCCCAGTTGGAAGTGGAACTTACTGACTTCTTCAACAGCCTTTGTGATATGGAGACATGAGTGGGCATGCCCAATAGAGGGCACTGTCTAATAATATCAAAGCAGATACTAGCCTTTCCAGCCCAGAGGCTGAAACTTTGCTCATGTCTTCGGCAATGTCACAATCTAGATGAAAGAAAAGGAGTACTTGTGGCACCTTAGAGACTAACCAATTTATTTGAGCATGAGCTTTCGTGAGCCACAGCTCACTTCATCAGATGTGTACCGTGGAAATCTGATGAAGTGAGCTGTGGCTCACGAAAGCTCATGCTCAAATAAATTGGTTAGTCTCTAAGGTGCCACAAGTACTCCTTTTCTTTTTGCGAATACAGACTAACACGGCTGTTCCTCTGAAACCAATCTAGATGAAGCGCCCCTTGTGTCCTTTCCATGAGCAGCCCCACTCATTCCAGTGGGCAAATGGTGGGGGTGGGGGTGTAAAATTGGACACTAAAGATAACTGAAAAGTGCATTTCACACTAGAGAAAACCTCCGGGAAGAGGGCTGTTAATCATCAAAGTGACACACTCAAGGGGAGGAAGAGACTATAGCAAAACAAAGTGTCCAATATACTTGAGACATTAATTGTTAGGAGGAAGGTCCCTCCCAGTGGACCCAAACCCTGTCTAATGTCTCTCTCCTGGCGCTTGTGGGTGCTTTGGAGATGACACACCTGGCCCCTCCAGTCAACATTGTCTCTTCTGGGCAATTTTTAAGGAGAAGCCCTGGGACAGTGACTACCCTCCTATATTTGTCCTTCAAGACTGATGGTATGTCTTCATTGCAGGCCTCTGCCAACGCAGCTGTGTCAGTCAGGGGTGTGAAGAGGTGTGATCCCTGACTGATGCAGAAGCCCTGTTGTAGATGCAGTTACACTGGCCAAACTGCACTTTTATTAGCAAAGCTTCTTCCTCCAGGTGTGTGTGTGAGAGAGTGTGGGTGTATGTGAGTGGGTGCAGAGGGAGTGGGAATAAATGATCCTGGTAAAAGCATAACTTTATGTCTATACATTGCATCCATGCTAGGCTTGCTTTGCTAGTATAACATACCAGTATTCTCATACTGGTAAAATGCTCCTAGTGTAGACATGGCCTAAACTGTCAGGATGCATCCTGTTTGTGAAGTGTATTGCTCAGTGCTTCCCCAGCTAGTGGCTGATATACACAGAGAACAGGCTACTACTGCTACCAGCTAATAGTTACTTGGTTTAGCTCCAGGGTAGAGGGCTGTGTTGTGCTATGCTGCTGAAGATCCTGGGCGTGACCCGGGAAGGAGGTCATTACAATGATATTTGTAGAAGACCTTTTCTGTGGAGGATCCCCACACGTGTCCACCTTGGGCTTCCACCATCCAGCCTTTGGGTGACTGTCCTCTAGCGCCCATCAACAGCATCTCTACACTGGCAAAAGAGTTGCTGCGGAGCACTCAGATGCACCCTTTCTCCATCAGGGCCTTCCCCCAACTCCTGCCAGAGGAGTGCTGAGTTTCCGTGAAGAACACCAGTGAGCATCCTTGTGTTTGCTGCGTCACTTTATCCAGCCATTGTAGGGCCTGCAGCCTGCTATAGCAGATGGAACTGTTATTCCTGGCAATTGAAATCAGTGTGGAGAGAGAGAGAGAGAGAGAGACAACAGCAATGTTTCTGACTATGCTGGGAATGAGCAGCTTCTCCTTCAGTTAAGTGCCTGTTAAAGAGGTCTCCAGATCAGGCTAGAAATGCGGAAGCCATTGATGGATGAGGTGGCTCTTCTGAAGGACTGGGAAAAGGGGCTGAGAAGTTGTCTCCTGAACATGAATGGGAAAAGCCACCTGCCTTTCCTCCCAGGGTCAGCACTGATAATAAAGATGGGGAGGGAAGAAGGAAGTCCGGAAGAAGAATGGCTGGTTTGAATGGCAAGCAAAACTTGGTAAACTTGTATCTTTAGAATGAGTTTGGGTTCTAGGAATCTCCTGGATGGGTCCCTTCCAGGTTCTTCACCAGGACTTCGAAGCCTAACTCAAAACCTGGGAACTCAGCCTGCAGCATTGGAGATGATCGAGCCAGGAGCTGCCTGTGAAGTTCAGTTCCAACCTACACACTGGACCAAACCTGAACCCCAGCTCTGAACACTCCTCACACTCTGATCTGGCTCCAGAGGTCTCAGCATGGCCTCATCTCCAAGTCAAAAGAGAGCCAGCCCCTAAAAGGTCCGTCCCAGGAGTTACATGCAGCTAGTGCGAGTGTGGTCCCTTCCAGACGGACATTTAGTCATGCTGAATGTGTCCAATAAACCTGCCTGCTCTTTACCTGAATATTGAGTAGCTATGTGTAACTTAAATGGTCCTTGGAACACATGAATGGCAGTGGTACAGTGCTTCCAGGTAGGGTGACAGAATGTCCAGGAGGGAAGTAATTGCTGTGTAGAGAGGGGGATTATGAGCAGCTGAGTGTCAGAAGAGGAGCACAGAGCTCTGACCACCTCATGAGTGAGGAATCTCACCATGCCAGCAGTTAACTGCATCTCCAGCTCAAGATCCAGTTTCACCTGTCCTGCGTAATACTGCGGAGCGCTCTGCAAGCCTCCTGTCATCTGAACACGGAGTGAAACCTCCTGTTGGCTGAACATGAAGCAAACTCGGACTGTGGGAATCGCAGGATCAGGCACAACTGATCCTTGGCAATTGCTAAACAAAAGGAGGCGAGGGAATCTTAATGCACTGAGGGCCAAATCCAGATCTGGGTTACACAGGGGCAAATCTGGAGTAAGTACACCAGAGTCAAGGAAGGAAGGACTGAATATGGGTGAAACCGCCGAGGAGACTGAATGGGAGGGCAAGCTTTGCTCCCAAAGAGAGCTTCACAGAGAGGATCGGGCCCATTGGGGCAAAGCTCCTGAGTCACCCCATAGCACTTAACTGTCACAGAAGAGAGGTTCTGGAACAGCCTTCCAATAGCAGTAGTGGGGCAAACCACCTCACTAGCTGTAAGCTGGAGCTTGATACATTTATGAATGGGATGATATGGCCGGGTTGCCTGCAATAGCAGGGGGCTGGACTTGATGACTCAGGCCCCTTCCATCCAGTCCTGTGTCTCTGTGTACCCTGCCAACCCCTAAAACATCATCTTTGTTGCCATTGTCTACACCTGCTGGAGGTCCTGCTTCCCTATGGGGGTAACGCCAGCGACCCTCCGTTAGCATCACGTGGGGAAGGAGAAGTCTGAGATCTATGGAGGGGAGGGACCTCATTGACATGAGAACCCCTCTGAACATCTCCAGACCTGCTCCCACAGAGCCCCTTTCCTCCCTTCCCATACCAGGCCTAACTGACCCCAGGACTCATCAACTCCAGCTGCAGCGCCCTCTTAAATGGCTGCTGGGGACTTACGTGACCTGGTGACAAAGGCCGCTGAATTCAGTGCTCTGTCCACTTCTCTCTCCTCCTCCGCTTTGAAGCATTAAATGACATTGGCAAATTGCACTGCTAAGTCCCCGATGCCCCAGCGAGCCCGCCTAGGCTTGGTTGCGCTACACCGTTGAGTTACGGGCTGCCAGAGTTTTCCATGGGTGGCAAATCCAGGTAAAAGAATTATTTGTATTCCAGCCTGGGAAACGGGATACGCAGCTCACCCCCCACCCAACCCATTTCTAGGCAGACCATTTTGGCTCTCTTTATCCTATATGATCCAGAGTCAGATTCTTAATACCTCTGCTAGAATGAGCATCCCCAGTTGCCTCAGGGCCTTGGCTCGAGTTGCCAGTTGGCAGCTGTTATTCAAGGCTTTAGTGGCATGTGCCCTTCTTATCACATCGCAATTGCTGACTTTCCTCCACGATCCTTGCAGAAGCAGCCTAAGATTTGGTTTCCTAATCCTCAGCTGCCTTTTCGCTGCAGCCTCCGCTCAAATGGTTCCTTTGCCATCTGTTTAATCCCATGTCCCTCCCACTCCTACTGTCTGCCGTACAAGGGGAAGCATCATTAAGGAGCATGGGGGGTGGCATCACGCATCACTTACACTGGTATAAATCTCAATGACGTTACTCTGGATTTACACCAATGCAGCTAGTGCAGAATCTGGCCCTACAACTCCCTTCCCCCATTGCCTCCCTGTCACACACGTGAGACGGTTCTCCAGCACCCAGGGAAAACGTGAGGGTATCCTGAGCTGTCTTGCTCATGCTGAAGTCAATGGAAAACATCCCAGTGATGTCAAAGGGAGCAGGACTGGGCCCAGAGGAAGTGAGTGGCTGGGAACAGAGGCCCAGGTCCTCAAAGGCATTTAGGCTCCTAACTCCCATTGAAGTTAGGAGCCTAAACCCCTTTGTGACTCTAGTGCACAAATACTTCTAGCGGCTCCACTGCATGGCCCCATCCCGCATGCCACAAGCCCTGTGGGTGGCCACCCACCCACCATGCATGGGCAGCTGCTGCTCCAAGTCTGGGGGGGGCAGGGGCCGGACCGTGGGGGAGCAGCTGCTCTCCTTGGCATGCTCCCCTCTGAGCCTGGCAAATGTCTGAATGGCGTTAACGTAGCTCCAAGTGGCAATAACCCTCCCTGCCTGCCTGCACCTCCCCACCCCTGGGAGAAGGGAGGGATGCCAATGCAGCTGGCCTCTGCAAGCGCCTGCAGGCAGGGGCCAGCTGCCACGTGTGTGCAGGGACAGCCTTTGCCATGGAGGAGCTGGCTCTTGCTGGGCTTTCAGCATCTTTTTGAGGTGGAATCCCTGCTCTGTTCAGGGATCAGAAGCCAAGCCCCTTTGTAGGGGGTTAGGGAGCGGTGTGGGTGGGGGCATACTCTTCTAAGCTCTGCCCCCAATAAGCTCCACCCCCCCAAATAAGCTCCACCCTTGTGAGTCAGCAGAATGAGATGCCACATGCAGTAGATTGGGCTGCTATTTAAAATTGGATCGTGCGTGTTCTCTGAGCTCCTCTAGGCTTATGCCATAAGCTCAGCCCTTTCTTGAATAGGGGGGAAAACAAGTGGTGGAATTGCCCAAATGCATGCCGGAATGAGACGTCTCGTACTGCAAGCTGAGCAGATCTGTGACCTTCCCGCTCCTTCCTCGCCTTTATGAGAGAGTTAACAATCCTGACATTTAACTTCTCACCAGGCATCTGTGTTAACCCCTCACTAAGCTGAATGGGGTAGTTTATATCGCTGAGCTAGTGTTCCAGCCAGGCTCGTTGCAAGTAGACATTTCTGCATTGGTTCCACTCCATTCACATTTTTGAAGTTTTCTTCACAACCATAACAGGTGGAGACTCTTTTATTTTTTAATGAAAGCTGAGATTCTGGAGAACAAGAGAGCAGGCTCAGAGAGGAGGTGCTGGCTGCTTCCAAGCCCTGCTCTCCAAAACCTCTGCCCCTGGGAAGCACATCCCCAGGATCACCATGTGGTGAATGAATTTCATGGAGTTTCCCGGGGAAGAGTAGGAGAAGCTCCTGATCATGGAGAATATCCTATTACTCTGCAAATTCAGGGCAATCTCACTTCCTGTTTGGCAGAGGAACCAGTTGAGAGCTGGACTTAACTAACTGACCTCATTGTTAAAGCCCTGGACTAGGAATCGGGCGATCAGGGTTCAGTTCCCAGTTCTGCCACTGATTCCCTGTGTGATCTTGGACAAGTCACTTAATCTCTGTGCCTCAGTTTCCTATTTTGTCTAGATATGTTAGATCTTCAGGACAGGGACTGTTTCTTACTGGTTTTGTACAACGTGGCCTTGATCTCAGTTGGGGCCCTGTAGGCATTGCTGGACTATTGACGATGATGAGATGAGAAGCATAATTGGATTCTTCATCACTCAGAAATTGCTTGTGTAACCCAACCAAGTCAGACTTTAAAATGGATAGCCCCTCCCTTTTGCACCTTATCAAAACTAGGAGATGAGGAATGTTGTTAGGCACCCAAACGCAATCAGGGATTTAAATTTGGTTCCAAAGGAACAATTTCAAGTGCAAAATCTAGCGGTTGTTTATTTAAAACAAACACACCCTTCATTTAAAAAAAAATCAATTGACTAGATTTTTCTTTAGGCCTGAAAACATACATTGGCCTAGCGACGTCTGTCAGGGTTGTGAAAAATCCACGTCCCGGAGCGATGCCGCTCTGCTGACCTAACCCCTGGCGCTGTGCTAGGTCGACAGAAGGATTACGTACAGCAACGAGAGAACCCCTCCTGTCACGGGCGGGAGAGTCTACACTGAACCGGTACAGCAGTAGCTGCGCCGTTATGGCGTTTTAAATGGAGACGTACCCTTAGACTTGTAAGGCCAGATCTATGCAACAGACCTACATTGGTCTCACTACGTCGCTCAGGGGTGTGAAAAACCGACACCACTGAGCGATATAGTGATACCGACCTAACCCGCCATGTAGACAGCGCTATGTCAGTGGGAGAACTTCTCCCGTCAACAGGGCTACCACCACCCGGGCAGGTGGAATAACTACGCCGCCGACGGGAGACGCTCTCCTACCAACGCAGTGGAGTCTTCACTAACACACTACGTGGCTGTACGTGAAGACAAACCCGAAAACTCTTTCAGTTGTAACAATTCTAGTGCCAGGAAAAAGGGGAAAGTGCCCCTTTAAAATCTTTTACAAAGCACCTAGCGAAGGGAGTATACAAACGAAGAAGAATAATTTAAATCAGAAACCTCCAAGGAGATTTGGTTCCGATTTTATTACCCCTTCTCTGCATCGAAAAATATCCTTCCAGGGCTGAGAATCTGTAAGCCAAGTTTCAGTCCCAAGGAGATAATTGGTCATAAAATACTGAAAATAGAGATTTAGAATAGTAAGTCTGACAGCTCCTTAAGTCCAGCTGAGTGAGTTATAGGCATAATATTAGAAAGCCAGGTATCCCTAGATAGTCATGCGTATCTGGGTCATGATCACTTGCAGATATTCCCAATAGCTTCCACGGGCTGCTAAATCTTGCTTTTAAGGATAATTATTGTCTCTGTGTAGCTTTGGTTCTAGGAGATGCTGGAAGTGAGTTAGAGAATGCAACTATTCTTTAGGTGATCTCTGGTGAGTTCCTATAACATAAACCAATCTAGGCATAAATGCTCTGGCTTTAATCCAGCAAAGCACTGAAGCATGTGGTCCCTTTGACTTCAGTGGGACTACTCCCATGCTCAAGTGCTTTACTGGATGGTACAAACCACTAATTAGGAGCAAATTCTACCCTCAGATAAGTGCCTGGTACTCTGCATCACTTGTGCACTCAGCTGAGTGAAGTATTAGGCCCTGAGAAAATTAACAGCCAGGGCTGGCTTCCATATACCTTAAGGCCAGAAGGTCATTGTGATCATTTAGTATGATTTCCTGCATAACAAAAGCCCTAGAATTTCCTCCAGGAAATTACCTGGTTATACCTTGAAAGACAGCACTGATCATGCAGAAATTGTTTTAACATGTAGCTAATCTATCCATCGGTTGGATGCCTTCCGAAGGATCTCCTGTATGGAGAATTTACAGATGCTCAAGTTCACTGAGCCCACCTGGGCACAGGTTCAGGGACAGGTTCTGGGCGCAGGTTCAGGGACATTTGCAAGAAGGACCTGCAAGCTGGGACGATGCTGCTAGCAACGGGCCACACTGGAGACCTGCACTGTGCCAGGAGGAGAGCTGGTGTAACTGCATCATTCAGGGGCGTGGATTTTTCACACCCCTGCGCCCCTGAGAGATCCAGTGATACCGACCTAACGCCCCATGTAGACAGCGCTGTGTTGACCGGAGAGCTTCTTCCACCAACATAGCTACTCTCTCTCGGGGAGGTGGATTAACTACGGGAAGCTCTCCCGTTGGCGTAGGCCTGTCTTCACTTAAGCCTTACAGTGGCGTAGCTACATCAGCGCAGCTTCACCAAGGCGGCGTTTTAAGTGTAGACCTGCCCCTAGGCAGAGCGAACGCAATGTGATGTTAAGGATCTGCCTAATAAACCCAGAAAAGCCAGGAAAATCAAAGTCAAGCTGCAACCTTGTACTGCATCCTCCAGTTCCCATTTACTTTTGTGGCTCTCCCTTAATGCATCTTGTCTGCCATTTGACAGCCAGCTCTTCAGCCCCAGGAATGGGGTCTCTCTCTAGTAAGATATGTAAAGTGCCCTGTACACTGTGTGCTCTGAATAATAATGGTCCTTTAAAAACTGTAGACAGCAGAGGAAAAATAAGGACCTTCCTTCCTAACCTCATTTGAAATACTCAGGACAAAAAAGGAAAAATGGCAATTTATTTTGCTGAAAGGCAAGGGCTGACCTTCCAAAGTGGGCATGATTGGCCTGTGACTCACTCCGTCATGCTAATGTATAGTGTGCAAAGTGATCCATTGTCCTATGATTGATTCCCGGCTAGAGACCCGTGGTGGTGATTGTATTAGATGTCGTCATATGGGAAGACATTTACAGAAGCGCTCACCACCCACAACAAGGGCTGTGGGTTTTCAGAGGAGCACAGTGTATAGGGTGCACACCGGGTGCTGAGTATGTTTGTTTAATTGGGCCCTTTTTTAGGTGCTTAAAAGGAAGCTGTGCTTCCTTGGAAAATCTCGATCACTTGATGATCACCTGTTCTGTTCATTCCCTCTGAAGCACCTGGCACTGGCCACTGTCAGAAGACAGGGTAGTGGGCTAGATGGACCATTGGTCTGACCCAGTAGGGCCATTCTTATGGATGGAAGAATCCAGGGGTAGTTAAGGCTGGTGCTTTCATTGTCCTCCACAGACACAAAATCCCATCTTTCTCCTGTTAAAATTGATGGGAGTTTTGCCATCGACTTCAGTGCAAGCAGGATGTTTGCATATCTGTGGCTATTTGCAGGTGGTGACAATAATTTAAAGAGACAATGGCCCTGCTGGCAATGGAACAGTTCAGACTGTGTTTGTTTTTTTAACT